AAAACACACAACTCATATTTTCATATCAGTAGTCTTACCTTACAAGTACAGACATTCTTGATTGTTCCACAACCTTTCTACGGACAACCTGAACGGAGCTTGTGGACCAGTGGCGGTCCATGGACCACAGTTTGAGAACCTCTGGTCTAGTGGACTATACTTGCCTGGGGCTTTGACTGGCAATCCTAACCCAGCCAATCTAGCTAGGCACTCTCTGGATCTCCTGATTGGTTGCCAGGAGAGCAGCTTCTCAATTTAGCTCCAGCTATAGCAACAGATCCCAGGGCAGCCAACAGTTCTGATTAAGGTCTGCTTTGAATTCCATTACACCAGCTGTCCAAGCCATAAACCATTAATGCCATAGATAGTTCACCCCTGGTTTATTTAAGCACCTGTTAAAAATTCTTCTTTTAGATGTGGTCAGTGCCTTCATGCCAGAATTGGTATTTAGTACATTTTCATTCAGCTCCCACCGGAGTGATTATTTTGAAAGTCTCATAAGATTTGGTATTTACCTTGTAGCCCACACCCCTGGTATTTTTTAAGTACAAGAGAATCTTAGCCTCCACTTCCTAAAAGGCCTGTTTCTTTTCTAGCCCTTGCATTTACAGAATAAAAGTAAAAAAATGTGACCTAAGTTCAATCTGAAGGCTGAAACCAGAAGAAAGAGCACATCATCTTCAAATGTATTATTATACTATTTAATAACTTATTATTTTTAAGAAAATCTCATTATTTTTAGACCCCTAACTCATGGTTTTGAAATGCCTGGGGGATGGCAATGCTAAGTGCCTGGCGCAATAGGGCTCAGGCACAGCCCAGAACTTTAGGCATTACTGTAGTAATAAGTGGTGGTAATAATGTATAGGTTTGTTACATATAGACATCTTGTTCAATATGAGTAAAATTTGTCTCTCTGTAAAGGGTTGGCAAAAGACCCCAGCAATATTTATTTCCTGTCTGGATCCTCCAGGTACCATTGCTGAAGTCCAGGCTTTCTTGAAGTTGAGGGAAGTTTGCCATTGACTGCAATATGGGCAGGGTTTTATCAAGCTGGGAAGCAATATCTCAGTTCCTTCAGGGTTTAGACAGGATTGAAGCAGAACATAAAAGGGGGGAATTTCACTCCATGACTAAACCTTTGTGATAAAACAGCACAGCCTCTTAGAATGAATTCTTGTAACAGAAAGGCAAGTTTTCTGTTCTGCAATACAGAAAGACTGCCTGATGAACAGGTTTGTTATGGCCCAATCAGCAGTCAGGAACAGCAGGACCACATGTGGTGTTCATGCCTTTACCATCACCTTGGAAGATGCAGGTGTTTCCCCAGTGAAAGAATAAGTGCTGTGTGTATGTGTGTGTTTGGGAGGGTGGGTTGGAATAAGAAACAGTTTCCCAGCTTGATGCACTAGCACCTCGTTCAGGGCTTCTACAGTTTCACATAAAAGCTCATAAACACGTGTTTATTTTGCTGGGACAATGAGGTGTCATTTAGCTACCGAAGGCTCAATTAACTAAGATTCTGTGCTGGTGCAGTTGATGTAAATCAGGCTATTAGACAGGCAGTACAAATAAAGAAGCGGAATTGGCTCCAGCCATTTAGCTGCTGCTAATTGCGATGAAACGGAAGGCAACACATTGAATTTTACATGTAGACAGCTTAGTGCTTTTTTTTTATTGTAAGAATTTATGGACTGTGCAATGATAGCACCAGTGAAAACATGACAATATAATAGCGTGACGCATTGTAATACTTTTTTTTTTATTGTAAAACAATTGGGGAATATGGGAGGTGATGGAACATTACCTCCCGCATTTGCCAATGAACCTTTCTATACTACTGTATCTCATGGAACTGCAGTGGCTACAAATGGTGGAAGGGACATAAGAGGATCCTAGTAGAGGAGTGGGGTTGGATTATTATTTTTATGAGAGAATTTCAAGATTCACAAAGGGGACTTAGCTCTTTCAGTTTGGAGCATTTCAGCATTCTTTAAGTACCCTGCCTCCTCACAGAATTTAACATCTCACCTTAGGTGCCCAGCATCCCCCAGTACAATGTCTGGGGGGAGTTAGGCACCACTCATATTTCCAAAACCTCTACCTGGCCCTGCAGGCATAAAATCTCTCTGAGCCAAAGCTTCTGCTGATACATTCTCTTAGCCACCTCAGCTTCTGCTGCTGGTCATGTATGCAACCACCTTAGTCCTGGTAGCACTGAGCTGACCGGTACTCGTCTCCTGCATAAACTCTATCAGAATGCACAACATATACATTTCCTTGCTGGACCTGATGAAGTAGATGTATTCTGATCATGTCTATACCCAAACAAAAGCCAACTATAGGAGGCGGCCTAGTGATTAAATATATCACCCAGAACATGGAAAACATCAAATCAAGTCCTACCTAGGCTGCAGGGGAGTTAAACTAAGTCTCTTACCTTTCAGGAGAATGACCTAACTACTTCATTAGCATCCTTTCACTCCCTCTTGTTGATCCTGTCTTGTACATAAAATTAATCATCAGTGGGGAGAGAGATATTGGCTCCCTAGCCTAGTGATTAGGCTCTTCAGCTTGAAAGAGGGGAAGGGGAATATATGAGTTCTATATCCCATTCTGAAGAACCAGATCTTTACATGCTCATGAAAACTTCCTTGGCATAAGCTGAAGTGCCTGGGGATTTTAAGTGGCAGCTGAGAGAGATCACAGGTATAAACTTAAGTACTTAAATGTTCTTAGTAATGCAATTCATCTGAGTTCATGGCAATTCATCCGAGTTCATGGCCTTTTTGCTTTCATTTCCATAAACTTATTGTGTGACTGAGTTTCACTAAAATAAATATTTCATATAAATACATATTTTATCTCCAATAGTCAAATATTTGAGAAGTATATTTTAAAAATGCTTTTTTGAATGGATTGGCATTAGGAACTTGAGTTACATTTCATCAACCAAGGAATGGAAACAATGCCGGTGGAATTAAGTTATCAAACAAAGTAAACAACATAGCTCCTGGCTTGAATTTCAGATAGCAACCACAGAATAAGCAAAATAAGGGGAAAATATGATCAAATACAAAAATGATTGAATTTGAAAAAAGATCTTTGTGTGTTCATAGACATTCTTTGAAGAAAAATACAGGCAAATAAAATGGATCAATGTATTTACTATAAATTATGTGCTTAGCAGTGTTCCTAATGGTAAAAACTAATAAATAGTTAAATAAAATCTATTACATGATGAGTTGGCCATTAAAAGCAGTTTAAGCCCAGTTCCACCTATCAATGGCTTGTCCCAAAACACGTTACACAAATTGCCAATTATTCAAATCATGAGTGAGACTTTATAAAGGGGGATAAGGCAAGGTGCTGCTTTTATTGATTACATGACTTAGACATAGAGGTTCGGGCACACCATTCTTACAAACGCACACAAATCATCATACACCTCATTACACACAGGCATACACATACACAAAACAACCATTTCATCCACACATACACCAGATATAGTTACCAGCAATAGTTGCTCAATATCAGCCCAGGGTGGCCAACCCGGGCTTATTGAGTAGATGATGATGATTTGAAGATAGCAGATTTAAAGCTGACAGCGGCAGCAGGGTGAACAGATGCATCTGTGCTCCAATGAAACAGCAGTAGAGAAAGAGACTCACCCAACTTGGCATTTTCTAAGTGTCCTTTTATAGCAGGGGTGTCCAACCCTTTTGAATGTGGGGCCGGATCATGAACTTTTTATCACCCTGTGGGCTGGCAGAAGCAGACACTCACGCGACCTGTCCAGTCTGGCCGCGGCCTGGGGGCACAGGGGTCAAGAGGTGCCACCTGACCCTGCTGTGTCCTCCCTGCCACCTGGGTGGCCTCAAGGATGCTCCCACACCTGTGCACCTGGGCTCAGCAGCCAGGGGGACATGCAGGGATCCTACAAGGGAGTGCAGGATGTGCAGGGACACTCCCCTGCTCCCTCTCCCCCGGGGCAGCCCGAGCTCGAGCCCAACCAACAGGGCTCCCTCCCTACCCGGGGCCCATGACTCACCACCCCCAGTCCAATATCTATGGGTGGAGGGGGATGTGGGGAGGCAGAAGCAGTGCCAGTTTCCTGCCCTGTCAGCCACAGCCACAGCAGCATCTCCCGCGGGCCCAGCCACAGCATCCCTCCAAGCCGGCATCCACGCTCCCCACACCCGCCCGCCTGCTGTACTGCGACCTGCTCCAGCCCATGCAGCCAGCAGGGACTGGTGCAGGGCAGCGCCAGCATGCAGATGAGGCAGGGAGGGGCAGGGCTAGGAAAGGACATCTTGAAATGAGGGGGGAGGGGAGGAGCCGCACCGCATCAGCAACGTCAAGCTGACATGGTGCATGTGGGAACCTTGTCCCTTCCCCAGCCCTTCAGCAGCCGTTAGGAAGCTGCTGAGGGGCTGGAGGAGGGACAAGGGGTGGGAACAAAAGTAAACAGCGTTTACTTCCATTTCCCGTCGCAGCACCTCAGCCCGTATGTTGGACAAGCCTGTTTTATAGAGATTGGCATCCTTTGTTTCAGTGCTTTGGGGTTTTTTCATACCCAGCTTCTGTTTTTGTGGTTGTTCTTCTTTTGTCTTCAGCTTATCTTAGCCTTGGAGTGTCTTTGTTGCCCATCTGGCAGAATTTTTTTTTCTGTTATCTCCTTTGTGCCCTCAAGCTTCAAAGGGATTTTGTCAGCCATTTGTTAGTTAGTTACTGGCTGGTGACTTACATTTGGTGCCTTGTTGCTTACATAAACAGTTAAATTTTCTTTTCCCATCTCTATGCCATTCTCTCACCATTCACCCTTTTACACGCACTCATACATAAAGGCCAGGCAGGGTTCATTCACTTATGTCAAAGAGAAGGATACAAAATGGAGTTTTCAAGTTGCTTACAGGACAAGACTAACATGGTTATATTTTACTATTATTACACTCAATGTTAACATTAGCTACATTAGTTCAATTTATGCTACACATGGAACTGAGATAAGGAGCCCTAAAGTAAAGTATCACATGGAGCCTACAACCTCCAAGGTCAAGTGACAAGCAACTGGCCCAATACCTGGCATAAATGAATTGCCTTCCTCTCAGCTAAAGAGAGATTATAATTGAGTAAGAAGGGAAACTATGAAGAACCTAAGAAGCAGCAGTTGGAGAAGTCTAGGACAAAACCTTAGGAATATATGGCTGAATGAACCATAAATAAAGTAACTGAAAGGACAATGATGGCTAGATATTTTAGTCTGAAACCAGGCACAAAGCATGGCATGGTGGCACCTTAGACTAACCAACTCAAGCATAGATTTTGTAGCCAACAGCCTAATTTAACAGGTGATATCAAACTCCTAAATCAAGCTCTTAATTGTTATTACTAACTGCAAGCTTTCAAAATCTTGAGTCAGGATCACAGAAAGCATGGAAGTGGTTTAAAAATAATAAATCTCAAAAATTATAAAAATCATCCTAATGTGCCTTCTGATTTTAAGTTTTTAATGCTCAAGTTTTCTACTTTTTCTCTACAGCTAGCACAGCTTGAAATTTAGTTTATAGCAGAAACTGGAATTTTTTTTGTAAAGGTGCTTAAGGGTTTGCTCAGGGCTTGCATGCCCCATCAGGGTGTTTTCACCATTGGGATGTGGATTTGCAGCAGGCTACGCAGGCTTGGAGCTGAAGGCTGCAGAATGTATGCATGTGAATGGACAGCTGCAACTCTAGGCCAGGAAACCTGTAAAAAAAGGGAGAGCAAGTAGCTGAGAGCTGCACGGAGAAGGTCCACTTCCGAAGGGGCTACTACCAGGACAATTGCTTCTGAGAGGACTGCTGGCAGAACAATTTTTGCTGAGTGAGCTGCTACTGAGGGCAGAGGAGCCACCAGCTGCTGAGTACCCAGGATTGCCTGGTATCCTTTACTAAAGGAGTAGGGTTTGTGCAAACTGGTTCCTCTCCCCACTCCTTAGTTCCCTGGGTGCAAGGATTTACTGGGAGGGAATCGGGGAAAGGGGTTGCTAGAACCGGTTCTCTGGGAGAGCTAAAGAAAGTAGCAGGGAATCGTGGCTTTGTGGGAGCTCCAGCAGAGAGCTCAATAAAGTACAGCTGAGAAGGGGCACTCCAGGTGCCAAGCACAGGGGAGCTGCCCTGGGGAAGCATTTGGGGACCTCTGTGATTGTTTGCAAGAATCCAGGGAAGACTGGAAAAGAGAAGAAACCCTGGTCTCAGGAGCAGCTGCCCCCACAAGGGCCTGACAAATGACTCCATCTTCTGACCAGGTGACAGCATTGTCACACCTCTTCTGAGGCAGAGCAAGCACAGCTCCACAGGTACTCAACTGCAACCATCTCACAGATGATTGCTTTTCTGTGGGCAGAGTGATTCTGTAGCGATCTGGATGATTAGGTGTATACAGTAGCCTCCCGACTACGTAAGTATTGCATTCCGAGGGAATTTCGCACAAGTCGAATTCATGTAAGTCAAGATGACTTTCCCCATAGAAAATAATAGAATAGTGAGGGGTTTCGTACCCCAGACATACCTTAGTCAAAGCTTTTTTCCACCTTTTCTCAGTGGAATCACCTTTAGGAGGCACATCTAGCATTTCATCTATGCATCTTGAGATGCCACTACCACAATGGCGGCACAGCTCCACTTGATTCTGCCTGCAAATCTTGTGAGGTGTTTGTGTATATACATGAATCGCATGAGTGTTTGCATATATATACAAATGGCGCACATCTTGGGGGGCATTTTCCAGTCCGGACCCTAATAAAAAAATCGCCTGAGGGGCCCAATATTGATTCTGTGTACCAAAAAAGAAAGCATGAGAAAGAGAGTCTTAAAGGGGACAGATGGGGAACCATCAGTAAGGCATAGGCATGGCTAAGAGAGCAGCAAGGAGGCCACAAGAATAGCTCTAAAGCACCCTGGAAAGGACTATCCCAGTCTCAAGGGTAATCTCTTTCTAAGAACACACTGGTTATCAGCAAATCATGACGGGAGAATAAGAAGGCAGAGTAGGATAGGGTAGTACAGATGAGAAGGGGTGGGGACAAGAACCCAGACTCATCACTGACACTTGCAATATATATAAGAAGGGATCTTAGCATGTTCGATGCTTTTCTTCAAGTGACCGGTGACACACATTTGTGCAATTTTTAGACTTCCTTTGTTTTGTTACTTGAAATCATGTCCTTGATGTCCTTGAACTGACATCAGTTCACAATTGCATTTCAAGGAATCTTGAGGTCTCCACATAGTTAAAAGTCCCACTTTGGGTTGGAATCCCACAAGATACAAATGCCCTCTGCACTCATATTTTAGACAGATTTTCCTTTGGAACTGAGGGTGCTCAGAACCTTGCCAGACTTGCCAGGCAGTGGGCAGAGTGGAGTTGTAGGCATCTGGGGGACTCTCTCCCCATGAACATAGTTGTCTCCAGAAGGATGGGGAAAGCAAGCCATAATTAACTTTGCCTCAAAACCTCTGTACCATCAGACTGGTGGCACAGAATGACTCCTGGTTATAGGTAATCGTGAGTAGAATAGCTAAATTCCATGCTGTCTTCTACCTACTTTCTTTCTATTTCTTACTTGCTCTCCTTGTGTGTGGAAACAAGAGATGACATTCAATCTGTGAAGGGGGCAGTATGATACCTACCCACCAGTTTTATCATGTTTGAACATTCCAAAAAACACAAGAAGCAATGGAGTGGTGTATAGTAGAGGTGTGCAAAGCAGGCCTTATTCGATTCAGATTTGACCTGAATCAGGGACTGTGATTTGATTCACTGATTCGGATCACTATCCCTGATTTGATTCAGCCGAATCCAAATCTGAAGATAGGATGCTGATTCAGAGAATCAGCGACTTGGACACAGACACAACTTTAAATGTTTTTTCTACATACCTTGAGGTAGCAGGCATGGCTCATGATGGCTGTGATGCTGGGGTGCATGGAGCATCCCACAGGAGCGCGGAGGGGCCCTCCAGGTGCTGAGCAGTGAACCTGGAAGTGGACCGGAAGTAGTTCCAGTCCACTTCCAGGCCTGCCAGGGAGCGTGCAGGGCTCACCACCCCTCACATCCCCCGGCTGGGTGATCGGCCACAGGGGGACCCTAGGTGTCCCCCCAGACCCAGGAGTCACCAGTCACCAAGCCACAAGGGTATGGGGGGTGTCCCCCAGCATGCTCCCCGGTGGACCCAGAAGTGAACTGGAAGTGCTTCTGGTCCACTTCCAGATCTGTTGCCATGCGCACTGGGGAGCCCCCTTGCGCTCCTGTGGGATGCTCCATGTGCCCCAGCATTGCAGTGTTTATGACCCCTGCTACCTAGAGGTATGTAGAAAAAACATTTAAAGCTGTCTCTATGTCTGAATCTCCAAATCTTTCCAAAACTCTCCAAATTGATTTGGAGGGTTCTGATTCAATTCAGAGAGATTAAAGGGTCCTCTGATTTAATTCAGATTTGGAGATTTGGGTTGTGGGGCTCATGGCAGTGCCCCTCCATGCAGCGTGGGGCAGTGAGGGGAAGCAAGGATCGCACCCCCATCTGGCAGCAGCCGGTGAGTAGGGGATTTTTTTAAAGCAGCAGGATCTGGGGCAGGCAGAGTAGTCATTGGGGGGTCTGGGGGAGCGGGCAGGAGTCTGGGGGTGCTTGGAGAATGGGGAGAAGGCAGGGGATAGGGCCTAGCAGGGGCCCCCCCATGTTCCCCTCCCCCCCTCCCGCCCTCTACTTACCAGCATG